CAGGAAATACTCTAACGAAAAATAATTTAGTACTTTCTGTTGATCAGCAAAATATTGTTGAAAGTATAAGAAAATATAAAAACGCTACGAACTCATTCCTCAATCTAATACTGACCCCTCGAATGTGTGCTGCTTCTTGACTACTGATTTGTTGACAAGATTGATTGCAACACAATCGGCTCCTTAAAGGCCAGCAGATTAGTCTAAGATTCTAAAGTTTTTTTTTCACAAAATGCTTTTAAATGTGCTTCGGTGACGTTAACTCGCGTGACTGTTCTACATCATTTAAGAGAGCAAAACAGCGGCCTTGAAGAAGGAAGTGCACCTTTTTATACAATCATGTTATGATAGAAGCTGTCGTGTCTTTTATGTTGTTATGATTCAGAGAGATACGGGTACGCTATCAGTCGATTGGATATTTTCGATGGTTAGCGCCAAATTGGGTACATCAGCTCATCAACGTTTTGTTGTGGGTCAGTCCTAACAACACATCAACATCAGTAGTTTGAATATTAGCATCCTCAAATTTCTAGTAGCCTTAACTTTCTGAATTTAGATATTGTTCCTACGCTAAGCTCCATATCGAGAGCCGACAGCTTCGTTGACACGAATCATGAGAGGTGCTTGGAAAGCTTTGAGAGAAGAGTAAGCGATAACTGGCATCTCTAACGAGTAGGAATGTCGTCTATTTCCCTCTTCAGTATCCCGTGATGTTTGGACTAGAGCTGGATGTTTCCGATGAGGTAGCAATGCTGGACAGAAATGGTAATATTTCGAAGGACGGTAAGGATGCGAACAAGAACGCACATCAAAACGGGCAGTTAAGCAGGGATATTGACACTGCAGATAGAGGGAAGTTAGAGGTGAGCTAGTCTTAGCGATCTTTGAAAACTTTCATACAATTTTTTGACTTACGAATTCCTAAACAGGAATTATACCAGTGGTATGTAATTCCTATGCAACCCGAAGCACATATGGGAATTGCAGCCTTGCAGCAAAAAAAAAGCAGCCAACATCGATGAAGTTTATGTGTTCTGTTTCCATTAGAAAATTCTAAAATTCACCTTTGCTC